GAAAACCATCCCAGCAAATTAGTGAAACCCATAGGATGCAAGTTTAAGAAGAAGAATATTAATGTTAAAAAAGGTCTTAGAAAAGTCTGTGAGTGTAACATCGAGATAGTGATGGTGTTCAAAAGATTCTAGATTTTATGACAGTTAACTGTTCAACATTGGCATCTTGTGGTAGACATTTTTCTTTTCTCCTGAGTTAGGGCAGTACTTTTCTAGGCCCTTTCTTGACGTTAGGAAAGCCGAGTTTGGCACCCGGGAACGGGATTGCTGTACACGCTTAACGACATCGTACTGACCCGTTTTTCCGAGCCATTGAAGGCAATTCCTCAGAATATTTCCATAGCCATGTTGGGGTTACTCACGGTAGGGTTCTCGCCCCTACACTATACAAGGTGTACACAGTTGACATTACATTCCATCCCAAAACGACCTCCCTCACATTTGCAAACGGAACAATGATCTTTATTATCTCCGATCCTGTCATTTCCACTCGAACCTCCAACAACACCTCTCACTATTAGAGCCTCGGTATGAAAAACAAAGAATAAAATTTAACACTGACAAATCCACAAGGAAAAATGTTCCTTCCAGTCTGATTAAATACGTAATATGCCATTCCCAACTGCGGACAAAGTGCGGTACCTCGACAAACGCTTGTTGGAATCCTCACTCACGACTAAAGCATCAAGAAGTTATAACACGATGCAGAGCTTTGGCATGAATTCTTGAAAAAAATGAAGGTTCTGATTTACTTCTAAAAAACAATCCAGCTTTACAACACCATAATTAAGCTGACATGAACAACAGACTCGAAGTGTCGGGTTAAGCCAAACGTTCCAACATTCATCCGAACTGCCCAATCCTTAATACAACGAAAAATCCTTGGCATTTATGTATCGAACGTAACTACACATACAGATATAAATATTCCTTTCGTTCAAAATGAAAACCGTTCCTGTTACCGCAAATCTCAGAAAACCCACAGAACCAATATCAGCACATACAAAAATTCGCATCCTGACAAATTCCCTTGAATCCCCCTCGCCTGAATTAAAAAAGGAAATTCAATTGTTACTGCCAAGCTTTCGATCTATTTTAAGATCATCCTCAGGGCAAAATAATCTTAAAGATGTTTACCAATTGACATAATTAAATTTTGAATAGATGGTTTCAAATTTCTCTTTAGACCGACTCAATCCCAACATTGCCAAGGACTGTCGTCACAGTAGCTTTCGACCTAACCCATCTGTTAAAAATTTAATTATGTCAATTTGTAGAGATGTTTAAGATTATTTTGTCCTGATGATGACTTTACAATAGGTCGAAAGCTTGGCAATAACAATAACTCAAGAACTAATTAAAAAGACCAAATTTTAGAACCATGGGTATTTTTTCTTATCCTGAATTTTGAATTTATTTCCTATCTCATGCAACGGATTTGGAAGCACATGTATTGTACTAGAAATTTAAAAAAATATATTTTAAGTTAAAAGGAAATGGATTATTTTTGATGAACCATGTTGTTCAAGAATAACAATAATTAATGTTGTTGATATATTCAAAACGAGGAATGGGTTAATTGGACCGAATAGTCAAGGCGTAGGACTATTGTATTTGCCTCGCTCACGGTTCAGGGTTCGAATCTCATGATAACCTTGGACTTTCCACTTGAGAATCAGTTCAAAAAATTATTATGAAGCAGTTTAATCAATTGTATTTGACCGTGTAGTTACGTTAGAAATATAAGAGTAATCTTAGAAAACACTTCTGCATGTCCTAAGATTTTTCAATCGATGTTGCACGGATAATAACCTCGTTATGTTTTTCAATAACATATGTTTTAATATAATGCTCACAAATTGGACTTTTGATTATTTATGTTTAAAATTTTAATTTAAAAGTTTGTAGGGATGGTTTTTCTTTCTACAAACACTATACCGATTTTGATTATGTATGTATTTTAATAGTCAACTTATCAAAATGCGCCAACGCCCACCCGGCTTTTATGTTGGGGTTGTTTTTGACTCTTAATTGCGAAGAAAAATTATTATTCTGTCTGATAATTACCATAATGTTGACTTAATCTCCTTGTCCCTTGAGCGAACAGTATGTCTCGCCTTCCTAAGTTAGACACTTAATTGGTTTAGTACATTTTCCGAGGAAAATTAACTCCTAAAAATGTTTTACGTGTTTTTATACAATGTTGATGATTCACTTTTATCAGTATCAAAATCCATATTGAAATTATGTTAAAGATTAAAGTTGTTCTCTTAATTGCTGGATTAGCAAAGCATATAAAAACAAATGTCTGTAATGCATCAGTAGAAAATTTAACGATATTCAGAGGAATCTATTATCAAACCAATGTATTATATAGATAATAATGTGCACTGTGTACTACCTAATCTGGTCACACCTGGAAGCTAATTTCTCCGCCTAATACAAGCATAGATTACATAAGGGAACATTAGACCAATCAAAACATGGGAGTTCGGTTGTCAATTTATGCCAACCAATAATATATAAAATTATACATATCGTAACTGAGAATATTTTACACAAAAACACTATAACATTTTACTTTTTGGACTGATCTAAAAGCAAAGAACACTTGCCTAAATCGAACCAATTTTCTTAATTTAAGGACTATCTAAATGAAACAAAACACAAATTCACTTTAAATGTAAATATAACAGAGTGACACCATTTAAACAAAGAGAGGGATCTATATTGGTTTGCGAAATATGATATAATAATATAAAATTAAACTAAATAATAATTTTTTGATTTACCCTGCGATTTTAGGCTTATACACAAATAATATTCAACAAACAAATGAATCCATAATACATTTAGTAGCCATACCTTTTAATTATTTTAATTACAACTAACAAATACAAATTAACCCATAATTTAAAATGATTGTACAGTATATTCTAATGAGTATTATGTAATTAGTCCTATTGCTGGACCAGAGCGATTTCTCAGTGATGTAAATAATAAGTAAAATGTGGCTGGGATGAAAACGTTAGTGTCACGAGCAGGATTCGAACCCACAGCCTTCGGTTCGATAGGCCGCGCCGCTGCTCTAACCGCTTGAGCTGTCGTGTCACCGTACCCCGAGACACCAACTCATCATCTCAACTTATAACTTTTTTAAATTCTCCTCTATTTTTACCTCATATTCAAATTACGTGAAATCGTTTTGGGTTATCTACGAACTTGAATAGGCCACGGGGAGCTGTTAGTGAAGTATTGATCGTTCAACTAATTATTATATTATGTTTTAATTGGCGCTACAAGTATTCAGCAAGTATTCAAAGCAAGTATTCAGTGATTCATAATTTTACGTAAAGTGTGGTTGAGATGAAATGAATCCAAAATGAATTACACGTAATTTGAATGTGAGGCATAAAATAGGACAATTTGAGTTAGTTATAAGTTGAAATGATGGTTAGACCAGCAGCGTATTGAGCCGAAGGTCGTGGGTTCGAATCCCGCTCGTGTCGTTAATCTGTTTAGTGAATTGAATATTTTCTTTATTGTTTCCATAGCAACATTTTTGATAAAATTGTTTACTCAGTATAATTTTTTATTTAGCTATATCTTATATTATTCTTTAAAAATATCCAGTAAACAAAAACGAAAAATAAAATAAAATAAAAAGTATAACGATTGCGAGTGTTTAACAGAAAAAACTAGGGTGGCTACTCTTTTTGCCTCTCAGTGTATAAAGGACATAATTTTCTCTTGGGATCAAGGGATAGTCCACCTTACATGCGTCTCTAATGTAAATGTTAATTTGCATATTTTTCTATTGGAATGCCCTGCTCACAGACCCGTTAGATTATCACTAATACCCTGTTTTTTCATAATACTTCACTAAATAATTTGCTGAAGGAAAAAAGTGATTCAGAAATTCAAGAAATATATATTTGCATAATGCTCGAAAATTGAGGTCATTCATAAATAAACGAATAAAATCTCTTGTACTTTTAATTAACAAAAATGAAGTGTGATCTCTTCTGTTTAACCATTATTAAAAAATTATAAGGACAGAAATATCTTCCAAATTTTTCCCAAATTGTATTTTTTCCTTCTCTCTTTCTCTGCCTTGTATTATACACATATTAATTCAAATATGTATTTAGTAGTCATAACTGACAGAATTAATTATTTTAATGGTATATACTATTTATCAAAATTTTAGGTTGCGATGAGCCTTCTGCTCAAACCACTTGAGCTTTCGTGATTTAGATCCACTCAGACACCAATTCACCTTCTGGGCCTACCGCCATTCAAATATTCTTTATTTTGCCTTATTTGCATATAGTTCATAGTTGGTGTTATATATTTTGATTTTAGCCTCAAAGACTGTCCAACTTTCATCCTATTGCCTCAAGTCTACCGACTTTTGGTGTCTACTCTTCCTGGCATATAGACGAGCAACATCTTCAGTTAATGATGCCGCCATTTTTAACGTTAACAGCGTGTGTATTTCGTTATCAAATTCGGCATGTAATTCTGCCGATGCAGGTGTGCCAGCTACTTGATTGATTTCGGGAAAAAGAATAGCTAGTCCGCCACAGTTATGTAAGACGTAAAAATAGAATCGGGCGAAGAAGATATTGGGTNTAATATTCTGTAATGTTTTGTCAAAAAAGAATCTGTGAATAATAGATCATATTGAAGAGTCTAAGTTTATTAACGTAAATTAATTATAAAAGATAGACAAATTGGACATTGTTATCAAATATAAATATTTTTTAAAATATCCTATGTGCGCGATAAAATTAATATTATAGTTCCATATAGTAAGTGATTTTGGATTAAACCATCACCCCAACTCCTACGTAAAGAAAACAAGAAAAAAGAAGGAATTTGCTGGCCGCCAGGAATTTGTTAATGAAAACGATATAACTGATCGGGTGGCAATACCATTAATCTTGAAAGAAAGGGGTTGTGGCACGGGGTCCAGTCTTGGCCCGTTCTACGATTACCTTGGTCTTTGTTCGCCGTGGTTTTCCAACTCTCGGTATTAAAGACTGACCCGAATTTTAGGGAAGCCGGGCGTGCCGACGCCGAGTAGTTTCAATTTCCTCGCCACCGCATTCCACGTCGGCATTCTTCCGATCCTGGACCGCGCTGGGAACAAAAAAAATCGCAAGGCGTATTCGCATATTAAAAATATACTCAGCGGCGAGGAAACATGCTGATAAGAGACTCTGGTCGACCACTCTTATAGAAACAGTCTTCCAGAAGGGAAATAAATTAAGCGTTTATCAGAAAATAAAAGTGTAAGCGTTTTTATAAAGGAGGGCCACCGAAATTCCACATATACATCCAAAATGAATAATAAAAGCCCTCTACGCTTAGGAACCTAATAAAAACGAGTAATAACAGTTTTCACCCTCCATTTTCGTATAACTTTTAGCCAATTTGCTCAGAGGTTGAAATCGAACAGTGATCGTTTTTAGATTACGGGAATTCCCTTGAAATGTAGGACCCGTTAACATCCCCCGGCGCACCCCTCGGCGAGCATTTCCTATTCTCATTCCGATGCCCGTTCCCCCTTACTACAATATAACATTTACTGATTTTCTTATCAAAGGAACTCTCCTACGAACTGTTCTTTGTGTAGAACATTTAAATTTAAATTAAGCTAATATAACAGCAATTCCATTCCCACCGACCCCCCTGGCCATTTTTTTTTCACGATACACCTCCCCCCCAACAACAATTACATTGACAAAATCAACTACTCAACTATGTACTCTGCGAGTGCATAGCCATTAAAAGAAAGTCATTTTGTCAGCTTCACCTTGCCGGTTTCGTCTAAGACCAAATACAACGAACAGACAGGACGGAAAAAACAGATTCAGGAAACATCAATATCGTTAAGGGATTTGGGGATAATGATTGAAAACCAAACTGCAGACAGACCAAAAATGAATTGTATTTTATAATATGAATTATAAATGAATTAAAAAATGGAACAAATAGCAATTTGTAGCAACAAACATAGCAGATATATCACTAACAAACTCATAAACACAAATTATCAGCTGTTCACATACATGGGCTGCACTATTGACAATTTATTAGGTTTCATGGTCCGCTTGACTAAATAAATTCTTTTCAATTAATTAAGGTTTTGGTTGAGATAAAAAATTGAGTGTCACAAGCGGGATTCGAACCCACGACCTTCGGTTAAATACGCCGCTGCTCTACCACTTGAGCTATCGTGACCTCGATTCACTCGGATATTAACCTCCCATCTCAGCCCCACCTTTTGAATTTGCCCTCCTTTTTGCCATTTTTCAAATGTCGTGTAATCTATTCTATTCTCGACGACAAATAAAATGCCCACGGAGAGCTTTATTAAAGTATACTTCATTTTGCTTATTACATTTATTAGGTTTCGCGGTCCGCTTGACCAAATAAATTCTTTTTATTTGGAGTGGATCGAAGTCACGATAGATCAAGTGGTAGAGCAAGGGCGTATTTAGCCGAAGGTCGTGGATTCGAATCCCGCTTGTGACCCTCACTTTCTTATCTCAACCAAAACCTTAATTAATTGAAAATTATTGAGAATACTATAAAGTGAAACCTCTTACTAAGGGCCGCTCATGATGTTAATTTTGTCCTCTTTTGGAAGATGTCCTCTAAAGACAGATTGTTATCGTTTATAACTAATAGTAGTGTTATAACTACTATACACAAAGTGTTATAAATTGTCACTACTAACAGTAGTGTTTATAAGTACATGTAGTTATGTACAGATCCAAGAAGTAAGGTATGTAGATGTACATGTTCAACAACTTAACGATCTTTTAAAATTTTCTCTTACTTTTATTTATCAGCTAATGTTCTTACACCAGGGCACACAAACTTTTCGTAAGAATCATGCACTTCTTTGCTTTCTTTTAAACTTTGCCGGATCGTTAACCATGTTAACGCTAAAAAAGTTGCGGTTGAACTGGAATCATAAAGTGAAAATAATATCTAATGATAATGTAGCATCTAATAAAAATAAAAACACTAATCCACCTCGAAAAAGTTTTTTTTTTAGTAAATGTGTTAAAGAAAATAGTAAACTTCCATGAAAACGGAGGTGTCCCAACAACAAAGGAGTTCCTTATCTGAGGTTTTTCTGAATCAATTAAAAAGAAAATTGACAGATCACAAAAACGGATCGAAATAATAAAAACCCAAGCTTAATCGAACAAACGAACCGACAAAACCATATAAAATCGACATACGCACCCCCAAGACCTTACAAAAGAGACTTGCGTTCAGAGAAATCACACAGACCCGACACTGAAGCGAAATGCCAAAACATGACCATCAGACCAACACAATGACGATAGACCGAGATCTATTGACCAAATTAATTTTTTTATACCTTTTAGCACAGTAAAATTAAAAGAGTAATTCTTACGGAATTTTTGTGTTGTTAATACACATTTTACTTACAGATATTAAAAATAGATAACACCTACTTTTAAATAAATATTTAATTATTTTTTTATTAACGGCAGAAGGCAAAGTGTCAACATTTATATTACTGTGTGTTTCTTAGTGACCGGTTGTCTAATAAATTCTATTCAGCCGTGGGGAGCGGACAGGAATGAGGTACTTTAGAAAAACGCCTTTTTTATTTTTTTGCCGACGTTTCGAGCTTTATTCGGATTATCTTCAGGGCATAAATACCACCACAAAACAGCACCATACTTATGCTCAGAAGATGACCCGAATAAAGGTCGAAACGTCGGCAAAAAAATGAAAAATTGTTTTTCTAATCTACCTCATTCTTTACCGCTCCTCACGACTTCAACAAATTTTTATTACTATTGCTTTTTTATGCGTGATAGTACGGTATCGAAATACAGAATATAAAAGCAATACTATAAAATTGTCAAATAAAATATACCCAATATTGTTTTACTTGTATACTGAGAATTCGCCTCTAGAAAAGAAAAATCTGTTTCTCCTCTGAAAAAAGTAAAATCATGTCACATGTCACCCCGGTTGTTGCTACTTGTGTTCAGCATAAATAAACGTGTGCCATGCTGGGTCAAAACTCGCATTCGACTCCGAAAAAAGAAAACTGCGATAAATGTTATTTATATGCATGCTCTCTTGTACATATATTTTTCTCTTTTTTATCCTCGGAAATATTGTTATTTGCATTTTTTAAGTTACTGCGTTGCGTTCAACAAAAAATACATACGGACAAGAAAAAAATCTTGTTTTATTTATTTGAGAAGAGAGCGACGGTAAGATTTTATAACATTTACAACCAAGAGGAAAGGTATAAATAGGTTACAACTGCAAAAACATAAAAACGTATGTGATGTATGGATAATTTAAATGTATTTTCGTACAAATTAGCGTCTATATTCCTTGGAATGCTTGGAATTTAAAACATTAAAGTATATTTCTTTAAAAATATCCCAATGGAAATAGCAACCGTTGAGATCGATATAGCTGAGTGGTTAGCTTCTCTTGGCTGGACCACGCGGTCTTGTGTTCGATTCCTACCATCACCCCAGAACTTTCTGAACGCTCCTTTTCCCCACTAAAAACAAACAATCCCCGTCTTTGGCGACAAGACAACAAGAAAAAATCAATCAAACCGTTGAATTTAAATCGACATATTCTTTTGGGTATTTTTTAATAATATGGGCGATGACTTCGTAGGACGTCGAAACGTGTGACCATGGAAAGTCAGGTGAACAGGACGGATGAAGTAGAACATCACGTCCAAAGTTCATTAAGTTTTCCCGAGTCTTTAATGAGACGTGACAAATATCACCCTGGTCGCTGTTCCTTAATTTGGCAGAGAATTTAAGGTTCTTCGTCTAAGAAATCGTGAACGAACATCCCTATTTCAATTACGTCAGATGCCTGACATGCGTTATTTAAATGAGTCGAATCATTGTTATTAGTTATATATATATATATATATTTGTTTTTTTTTTTGTTACACAGAAGAGTATTGATCTTCGATAGATGAAAATAATGTACGAAACTTAAATTCAAAATACTTACTCCTTAACAAAACAAGCTTCTCTAAGTGTCCTTAAAATTTTCACGTTGACTTAATTTTGTTTGTTAAGCTTTGATGTCATCAGAGTGTGACTGTTTTATCTTGTAATATCTTGTATATTTATCTTGTATATTTATCTTTTATCTTGTATATTTATGTCGACGAAATATTTTTGCTAAGAAATATCTTGTTGTTACACAAATACTTATTCAAAAAGAAAATCTATTTAAAAAATTCAAAACATAAATTATTCAATTTATAAAAGATTCCAGCCCTCATGCAATCTATTATAACCCGCCCACAACGTCATCCGCTAACTAGTGCTGTATCTAGACAGACGGCGATACAGATTACTTATAAGACTACTAAAAAAATTATTCTACAAAAAAAAGCTGGGTAAAATTTCAACTTTTGCCTATTTTCTCCTAAATTCACATTCAGTTTGTTATATTTATAAACTTATTTCATCGGTCTTGTAATTTCGCTTTTATTTTTATTTCAGAAAAGTCGCCCTTGTAGTCATTCTAACGAGAGCCGGCCTGGACCTTGATGCAGGAGCGATGAAGAGATTGTGCGTCACCGTCCTCAAACTGGGCATCGTTCCTTGGATTGTCGAGTGCCTTATCGTGACGGCACTTTCTCACTATTTCCTCGACCTACCCTGGATGTGGGGGTTGCTACTCGGGTAAATCCTAACAATACAAAAAATTAAGTTCATCGGAATTTAAGAAAAATGTCTACAGCATTCCTATTTGTCCAACGTCTATTTTCGTACATCGCGTTGACATACACGAGAGAATGTTGACAAAAACCTTGTCTCATTATTTGGCAAATAGTTTGCAAAAGGCCAACACACTACGACGTTCTTTTTAAAGAATTTGGTCCCGTCTGATCGATAACTAGTTTGATTGAATTTTTATAAGCTACCATTTGATTTGCTACAGTATAAAGAAATTCCCAAGGTAATTTAATCTACCATGGATCCTTTACACTTAATATTAGCAATTAGCAATTAGCAGCAACACACATTCACATACTACTTTCATACCACTAAAAACAGTACATAACAAACATTCAGAAAAAAACAATATCAAAACCAATACAATAAAAACACTAAAACCAAACAACTCACAACGGAAATAGCATCGAGACCACGCCCTTGACTGCAAACGCCCCTAGCGATAACCCACAGCTCTTACAGAATATAAGACCTCACTGAAGATGGCGCAAATCCGAAACACATAGTAGTAATTTTAAAACCTGTGTGTCGACGGACCCAACAAGTTATCCAGTACCGGTCCAACATGTATTAACCAACTCACTTTACCAACACCTACCATCACATTTATCTATAATTTGAGGGATTTCTTCTGGGTGGGGTGATGAACTGTAATTGTTTTTTTTCCAATCTACTTTTAGTTAATCATTTTTGTTTGCTTTTCATTCGTTTGCATTTCGCTATCACCTGGCTACTTCCAAACGTCAACGCTTTCCCTATGGCAGCAGGCTATGACAGGGATGGTCGAATGGCCACCAGTGACAGCCTGAGGAACAGCATTCATAATCTTTCCACCCAAAGGGTAGTAAAAACGTACGCTCCAGTACGGCCCCACGGGCGCCCACGGCTTCACCATCTCAGAGCTGAAGTAATGTTTCTTGTGCCGTCGTAGTGGCGCAGACCAACGCGTACGCTGACTCACATGCTACACCATGATCGAGTAGAAGTACTACATCCTCGCTGGTGCTACGGTGTCCGGTCGGAGCATCTGCCCGTCGTCTGTCTGTAGGTGGACCTCGTCGGAATCAGGTACTCGGAATCGCAAAAACCGTCGATAAGGACTTGGAGGCTTTCTCAGTATTTTCGCGTGATTCTCAGGACACGTAGTCAACATATGTGAAAACGATTCGTTGCCAGCCCTACATTTGGCTGGCAGGTTTTTATCAGTTCTCCTTGTGGCCTTCCTAGTGTCCATCACATTATCCTGAGGCAAAGAGCACCTTGAAGTAGCATCAGAAAGCTGCCCACAGCGATTTTGACTCCGCGACCTGTAACACACTGGCTGGTCTAATTGACGATCTCGCTCTTCTTCAGTGCTACACCGAGCCGGCCAGCATAGGTTTTAGGCGACACCCCGTTAACTATTGCTTCAAGATGGAGCGATTTATTTCGATGAAGATGAGAATGAATAAATCTCTTGTCCTTGATGTTCGTAAACGACCAAATTGCAGATTTATACAATTGTTTAAATTATTCATAAAAGGTACGCTGTTTTTTCATACCCATTTGGACATTTTCCTACAGTAAAGCACGAAAGACATTCAAAAAGCGAGATTAGGCGAGCCATAATGACCGGGAACAATAAAACTGCGGTGTGTTCAACAACACAACTCGGCCATTATGCAAAATGCTAAATTACAATGCCGTGTAATCATATAAATGTTTCAAGAATAAAATATGTTTCAGCAGCTGAATATATTACTAATATTTTATACAAACCACTTTCAGTATGCAGTTTCCATTTTATTCCAGTTAGATCACCGATCAAGTATAACATTATTACAGACACTGTTAATATTCAAGTTTAAGTTAACTTTGCTTCAAGTCGAAAGTTAGAAATTGATTAACTCCTTTACATCCGATCTTCCTTTATATACTAACGCCGTTCTATTCGGTTTTCGCTCAGACGCTCCTAAACAATGAACGGGTAAGTAACACTGTTGTTTCTGTTTCAGGTCGATAGTGGCTGCAGTTTCGCCGGCAGTGGTGGTCCCGTGCTTAATCAGGCTTCGCAACAAAGGCTACGGAGTCGCTAAAGGGATACCCACTCTCATCATTGCCGTATCCGGTATCGATGACGCACTGTCCGTCGCCGCCTTCGGCATCATACACAGCGCTATGTTCTCATCAAGTATGATACGCTTCATTGCCTGACGAGCGAAAGTCTAACTTATAAAGCGTAACACAACAAATCGACTATCGTTCGGTCTAAAACGCCTCGAGCTGTTAATATTTTATCCTCAGACTTCAAATTAATTAAACAGGGGGCCGCGGTAGCCGAGTGGTTAGTGTGAGAGACTATCAGCTCGTAGCCCCCGCGGTCGTGGGTTCAATTCCCGCCGTCACCTCTGGCCTTTTTTCACAGTACCCCCCCCCACGAATACGCATAATAACATTGTCATTGGCAAAAGAAAAAAAAATTCTGAAATAAACGACTTCCATCCCATGTTACATGATATGTCATAAAATAAATCACAATAAAATCAAAATCCGTTAAGGAAAACAATAAAAGCGGCCGTGATCGTGAAGAACGAGCTTTACGCTTCGTTTGGCAGCGGTTGTTCGGGAATAAAGTAATTTGCTATTATTGCTATTGTTATGAAAAGGGAAATGCTACATTTCCCAATGCAACAAAACATATGCTATTAAAGAATTTTTCGGCTAGATCAAAGTGATATAATTTTACGGCAGTACATACGATTTTTTAAGACAGGTCGCATTATGAAGCCCGTTACCGGCATCACCTCTTTTATGGGTTCCGAGAATGATTTTTATATTTATTTTATTTTGCGTATTACAAATAAATTATATTTTCAGTGGTTTGAGAACGTGATAAACGATGATATCTATAAATTTTCCTTGTATAATTATTAACTATATAGTCCAGTATTTCATTTTCCTTCTTTTTTTTTATCATTGTTCTTTTTTGTCGAAGCTGTAACATTTAAAAACACTTTTAAATCAAATTATTTTAAATTAGTATCAATCAAATAGTAAAGATATTGATGTCGCTATCGAGTTTTCATCCAATACGTCAAGGTTTGTCCAGTCTGTTCCAAAGTACACTTTGAGTTGGGAAAAGTGAAACGAACATGACGAGAAGTTCCGCACGAACTGAACCCACAGCAAACAATGCATGGCCTGGAGAAATGGCGATTTCACAATCGGAAAACGGCAGATTCGGGTTTCAAGGGGATTCGTAACCACTTACCACGAAAATTTAAACCACGACAAATGTCAGATATATAATGACAACGATTAAGGTCAGAAACTGCTTAAAAAATTAGTTAAGTTAAATTAAACGTATCTGAGTTAGCAGTCAAAAAAATTGACTAAAAATTTCTAGGTTACCATTTTTTTTGTACTGGATTGCCCTTTTTAAGATACAAGAAAATACTATAGTGCAAATGACCATAAAAACTGGTCTCCTAACTTGCTCCATCGAGTAGATACGATGTTTTAAATTTTTATCGGAAAATACGGACTTGTCACACAAAAAATCAAACATATTTTTTCCATTACATGTGCCGTTGCGTCAAAATGAAAGTAATTTTTAAAATTTACGTTTAATTGTATAAATATTGAGTCATCTACTGAATATATACAGACAAAACAATAGACGTTTCGTTGGTAAAACCTATAAAGTTTGGTTATTGGTAGATATTTGAAGAATTTCACACATTTACTACGCTGTGAAGTACAAGATAAATTCAAATTATCAAGTTCTGAAAGAAAATTTCAACATCACCAGATTTTTGAATGTGTGATTGAATTTTTGAGTTTCTAAGATTTGTTTCAGAGTGGAAAAGACTTTAAAAATGAGTGAAAAAAATTCATTCTCGAAAATTAAACGGTTGTTCAGGTGTTATTTTGAAGTTTTTCTTCAGGACTTGGTAATACTAATTCGTTACCAATGATCCTTATACGCCTTGAACCTTACCCTACACACCAATCTTCGAATTCCTTTCGCCAAAAAACTCATCCTTTCCCATTCCACAAAATACCATAATACCATTAGTATACACACTTGTCCAACAAATATGCTCCGTACAAAATCCCACGGGGTCAACCCGCCATCTAAATCGACAGTGGCCAAGGGAATAAAACTACTAAATAACAACTAGGTTAGGTCCTCATTGGGCAAATTAACTTTTCCAGCTTTTACGCCATTATATTTTTTGATACTATATATGTATGTGCTTGTGTATATCTTTTAATTTAAGGTTTTGGTTGAAACGAAAAAAGCACGCGAGCCCCCCCCCCCACGACCGAGATTCGAACCCACGACTTTCGGCTAAATACGCCGCTGCTCTAATCACTTGAGCTAACGTGACTTCGATCCACTCTGACACCAACTCCCCATCTCAATTTGCAACCTTTCGAATTTTTCCTCCTTTTTGCCATTTTCCAATATGAGCCGAAGGTCTTGGGTTCGAATCCGGCTCGTGACGCTAGCTTTTTCGGTCCAACCAAAACCTTACATAAAAAGATTAATTAATTGAATGAAGTAATTTCGACAGTCACACCACTAAATGTAATGGATTTAATAATCAAAACGAAGTATAACTTCACTAACAGCACTCCGTGGCCATTTCAGTTGTCGCCGAGAATCGAATCCTGATTACACGATATTTGAAAAATGCCAGAAAGGAGAAAAAAAGTCGAAAGGTTGTAGGTTGTGATGGGGACTTGGGTCCGAGTGGATCGAAGTCACGATAGCTCATGTGGTTAGAGTAGCGGCAGCCGAAAGTCGTGGGTTCGAATACCGCACGGACGCTAGCTTTTGCGTTCCAACCAAAACCTTACATAAAAAGATTAATTATTTGAAATAAGTAATTTGTTCAATCAGACCGCTAAATATAATGGATTTAATGTTTATAAAGTTGTTCAAACGATTCTAAATGAAACAGAAAGCTAAGTGCAGTGTATATTTTGCTGATTAACTTTTTTATCATATATGTATTCTCTAATGAAATTTAAAAGTTTTCGATGAGTGGTTGCAGGATAATGATATTTTCTTATAGTAAAAATCGGATCGTTAAGAAAATTTTATATAACCAGATACTAAATTTTCATTCGACATCATTTCAATCCATTGACCTTATTTTATTTCATGTTTTTTATTAATTATGTTGTCTTTATTCGCAGATTCGCTTGCTTACGAAATCCTCCTCGGCCCTCTATCGATTCTGATCGGACTCGGTTTCGGCTTTGCCTGGGGCTATCTAGCCAAATACGTCCCAGAAAAGGAAGATGTGAGTTGAAACATTTCTTTCTTTTATTTTTCTTCGTCAATTTAGTCTTAATATTTTTTAAATTATTCTATTTTTATTTAGAAAATTCAGAAAAGATTACACTTTCCATATATTCTGGCAGCGTTACAGATTGAAGAACACCTTTTTGCTGATTGAAGAAAACTACTTCACGGAAAAGTGTCTTTTCACTTCAGTCGTCTTCTTTTAAGAAACACTGGCTTTCCATTTGGTAAAAACAGCGGAAATCGTTTCTTTAGACGTGTGCTTTTTTTACTGTGCAGAGGTTTCAGTCTGTGTTTTAAGTTACCGCAGATAAGGTTCACGCTCGAAACAATGTCTACTTTGAACCTATTGTTTTCAACCTTCGGGCATACTCTATTCACCACTATCTATTGGGAAAAGTATCTCGCTGCGCATTTTACATGCAATTCAATTTCAGAAGTGGGACATTTCTAACAGAACTGCTGGGAAAAATGTTTTTTCAAAATGCTATTTCACCGCTGTTTTTGATAAAAATTTTTGTAGAGTTTGCCTCGACTTTAAAAAAATTGTTTTAGATTCTTACAATTTTAAATGAAGACAACATAGTCTTAATTAATCGATTTGTTTTTAAATCTGGTTCTGGCTAGTTAATATCTTTTTATAGTTTCAGAAAATTTGTTACTCCGAAGTTAAATCACTGTAAAAATGTCCTTGGTTCGTTTTCAAATTTTCAAGAAGTTTTGATTTCATTAATCACTCCAATTGGTTAAAATTCTTATATTTTGTTGAATAGTTGATAAGAAATTGAAATCGTTAATATCTGATCTCACTGGCCGAGAACTAGAATAAATCAAGCTATTAGTGATCCACCCTACTTTCATTTAGTGTACCACAAGGTACATTTCTTCAACCTTTACTTTTTTAGTGTACATCACTAAAACAAAATGTATTAAGAATAAAGAGTTTGAGTCTTGGTTTTAATAAACAACGTCATTTTATTTAGTACTTCAGGTGTCACTAACATTAAATTGCGGCTTAAAAGTAATTTTCTTTGCAAAAATTTAAAAGATCGTTCTTTGTCGGATATTTTCAAACGAAATATCAAAGATCAAGTAAATTTACATCAATTTTCTTGTAATCATAACTTCTATTTCAAAAATTAGTCTTCTTTTATTGATTCAGATTCCGTCATAAATTTATAGTATTATTTCATAAATTTAAAAGTCTTCAAACATTTCTAAAATGTAGTTTATTGGAGGAGATTATGTTATCCACTAGCTAACTCAACTGTTCCAGAATTCTTGCTGGAAAATGTCAGTTAATACGCTCTCAAACGAATAATTGTGTCTAATAAATCATTATATTTTGTATAAAATTACTTTAAGTAAAGACTGCAACTTAAGCATAAAACGTTTTTTTCAATTGCTTTAAAATATATTGGTAAAACAGACGTTCAAATCAGCCTGTATGCTAGAATTTAATAAAAGAAACAAATAATTATGAAACTCGTAACATGACTTATCATACTAATGTTAAATTGCCAATAATCTTAACAGTATTGTTTCAACATCATGGTATGCTTAAAGAGAAAATTCAAAAATAGAGTAAAAATTGGTTATTTATCTTGATTCTACAGTTTGTTATAGTTTCTCATATGCTACATATTTTAGTGGTTGGTTTTTTCACTAATATAAATGTATGTATATATTTTTCTTCTATTACAACAATAAATCTCTTTTGCATAATTAAGAAATAATAAGAAAGAAGAATAACGAACAATGGTAAATTAAAAATGGTAAAAAAAAGATCAATAAAACTATCACAATACAGGGTGGCAACCTACTTGAAAAATATGTAAACAGGTTTAATAAAGCACTATTGCTTTTAAAATTCAATAAATTAAAAACGGAAAAAATTTTCGGTCATAAGAAACGTGGAAGAAAATTATATAGTTCAAAATTAACATAAAAATTTCATTCCTTTGAGTGAGATAGCCGGAAACAAATTATTTATTGTTTATTGTCTGTTTCAGCCTTTTGTCGTCCCACTTAGGATCATGATGCTCCTTGGAGGTGGTTTGATAGCCATTCTGGGAAGCGAACTGCTGGAATTCGGCGGTGCAGGACCTCTCGGCTGCATCGCAGCGGCATTTATCTCCTGCTACGGCTGGTCGAAACAAGGCTGGGACGTCGAAGACGTGTGTATTTTATTGAATTCCGAACAACATTTTGTTATTTTTCATATTGGGTAGCAATAAAAATATGATTTGGTCGTTACCGGTTATTTCGGTCTTGCTTTGCACGCTATTATGGCCTGTCAAACGAAAACGATCATTATTTACCGAATTACAGGTTCATCATCCCGCAGATATTTAAAATCTTAAATATTGCGATAGATTCACTGGGTTTACTTTATAGAAAATTGGTTTTTAAGAATTAGGCCACTTTCCTAGGTTTTACGTTGCTAATATCTAAGATTATTCGGAGATTGTGAGATACGGTCTAGTGTGACGTAGGTTTTAGAAAAACATTTTATTTAACGTGCCAACGTTTCAATCTTTATTGACATCATCTTCAGAGCCTGGGATATACAAACATTGCTTAAATTTAACAAATACATGTGTGATGTGGAAAAAAGTGAATTTATACAATGCAAAAAAATAATTTTTTTTTATATTAAATGAAAGTATTTCTACTCACTCAACGTGTTTCTTTTCTGCGTAATTGTGCCATTCTTGTGTGTCGTGTTGAGAGTACATGTACTTGTTAAATTTAAACAATGTTTGTAAATCCCAGGCCCTGAAGATGATCTCAATAAAGATCATTTTTTTAAATTATCTTAAATATGTGGTGATTAGTGACCGTTAATCGATAATTATTCAGAAATCGTGAGATGCGGTCTGGTGTGATGTAGGTTTTAGAAAAAGTTTCTTTATCGTGCCAACGTTTCTTTATTGAGATCATCTTCAGTAACGGCACAATTACACCGAAGACAAACACTTTGAGTGAGTAGAAATACTTTGATTGAATATAAAAAATACATTTTGCATTTTATAAATTCACTTTTTTCCACATCCTATATGTATTTGTTAAACTTAAACAATGTTTGTAAATCTCAGGCCCTGATGATGATCTCAATAAAGATCCAAACGTTGGCACGATAAAGAAATCGTTTTTCTGAATCCTACATCACACCAGACCGCATCTCACGATCTCCGCTTGATCGACTAACGGTCACTAATCACCACACGCTGCTTATATCTTATTAGACGTTATTATTAATGTCTTAAAATGACGGTATTTGCACTATGTTTCCTTTTTTTGTTTTTTGGGAAGAATGTACTGACTATACAAGTGGCGATGTCCTTCAAGTATGTCGTTAATTCTGGTGTTTGGCTATGTTAGTGTGGCATTTGTAAAGTTAAAATTGTTTTTGATGTGAGTAGGAAATACCTTGTGTTGTCTGCATTTCAGCAAAAAAGTTCTCTGATTGATAGCCGATGCGAGTTTCTTCTCTTTGTTGGCGATGTCCTTCTACAAATGAAGGACATCGCCAACAAAGAGAAGAAATGACAAGGTTTACAGCTCTATAAAAACATCATTATAAAATAAAGATTAATTATAAGAGCTAAAAATACAGGCTGCAGCAGTCGAACTTTATGTCGGTTAATCATACAATTTAAAATTAAACCCAAAATACTAATTTATCAATATCCAAAGGGGCAATGAATAACTGTTTAAAGTGGGAGATATATGGACCACTTTTTTCCTCACTAATAATCTACATCTCGGTGTAGTTTGGATGGAAAAACAAATTCAGTTTTTATCTACCAAGCTTTCGACTTATTTTAAGGTCTTCATGAGGTCAAAACAATCTTAAAGATCTGTAAAGACTCAGGCCAAACTTTGGCAAGGATTGTTACTGACCATAAAATATAGGTCGAAAGCTACCGTAATCGCAGTCCTTGGCAAAAAAGAAATTTGAAACCATATATTAACAACTTAATTCTGTCAATGAATAGAATCACTCTTTACAATTGTTTTAACCTGATGATGACCTTAAAATAAATCAAAAGCTTGGTAGATAACAACTGAACTTATTTTTTCATCCAGACCATACGAGTTTCTTTTGCAACACTGATCTTCTTACAGTATCTAGTTATGGGCATAGTATTAAAATTTTGATGTATCTCTTGTCGCACACGATAATGAAAGAAAGAATGGATTTGCAATAATCTTAACTATATGTAAATAAAGCTTAAATTGGTACATGGCCTAAAATTTGTGACATTTTATATGAGATTTTTGTTCTTTTGTAGGCTATATATAGTGAGGAAATAATTGCTTGGTATTCAATCGTTTTATATTAAAAAAGCTGCTCTCTTCGGGCAAAGAAAGAAGGACTTTAAGAGATATTTTATCGAAGAAGACTTTAGCAGGCCGTTGTAACGCCGTTTAAATATAACAACAATTATGATAATAATTCGTTCATAAATCGTTTTCACACTTCACAAATTTCCCCGCCAAAGCAAGACCCGGCGATATGGGAAATCCAATGTGAAAAACATGATTTAATGTCGTTGAATGCTAAACCATCCTTACCGCAGTGTGTTACCGGTTTCTAATCGCATTCTAGAACAGCGGCGTTATTACCTTGTTCCCTGCAATTGAATTGCCACTATAAAATTCGCATCCGGCCGCTTAATAACAAAATTGTTAATTCAACAGGATATAAACAATTGTAAAACAGTACCCCCAGTCCCAGTTGGGAAAAAAAATCAGCGTTAAAATTAACAAACGAAAAGAGCTCAACGTTTATTCGTCAAAGCTACAAGTAGAATGTTAAGAGATTATTGGAAAATATCTCTTTAGAAGCTGCCTCCTCGTTTATCGTTTCCACTTGTAGGCCATTGAATTTCCATTCGGCAATGGCTTTCGTGGATCAATCATTCAAACGTATTTATAATGGGCCGTAATGTCTTTTCTTTGTCCGCCTTCTATGCCAACCCTTTAATAAGAATATTGAACTGATGTTCAATTCGTCTTTCTTTCATGTATTTTTAGTTGTCATTTTGTGTCCAAAAGATATTTAAATATTCTGAAAATAGATATCGATTATTATCAACGTTGAACTATGTATCCTCGTTAATTTCATGATTTTATCTATTATTTAACCATTTGTATTTTATTATTCGGTGGCTCCAAGTATATTGCTTGTTTGGCCCAAGTCGATTTATACACTGCCGGACACCTTGCAAAGTAATGATACAGTATCGTAGCATATTCATTTCATCATCTTATTATAAAGGGTGAATAAATTTTTGACGCACCGTAGGAAGGCGTTAAAAGGCGGAAAATTTGTGCAAAAATATCCAAAATTAGTATTCAATGGTTTTTTGGGGCGCAGAAAGCAAATATCAACCTAGTCCAGCTTGCCATACACGTATTTTCACCTACTTTGTTTTTTCACAAAATAATTATCAATTGTATTTCAATAGAAACTTGAATTTTCTAATTTCTGAGTTTTAAAGTAGGTTAAATGTTTTTCCAGAAAAGGTTAATAGTGGTTTTCTGCTCCTCAAATAAAAATACTCCGACAATTTTTTTTAGAACATCACAAAACATTTTTTAAGTTAAATATTAATTCCATTATATTTAGTGGTCTATTGCCCAAATTATTTGTTATAATTAATTAATCTTTTTATGTAAGGATTTGGTTGAAATGATTAATTAATTAAATATTAATAAGTAAATTAGTCCAAAGCCTCAAAATTTTTCAACTATGACTAAACTTTCTAGCTTTGACACGACCCCTGATCAATCTGAAACTTTACAAAGCTTTGAAACCCGATAATTTATTCCTATCGGCTTAAACCCGGGCTCCTTACTGAATTAGAACCGGAGATAGAAAGTTAATCGTTTGATAAGGTATAGCTAATTTTATCATTATTTTTCCCACATATAATGAACGCTAGTCAGTGTTGACGTAATCTGAAAGAAGATAAACTTAACATTTGGATGGTAGTAATAACTTTATTTTGGATAAAATACAGATGTGTTATGAATTTTTAGCTGAAACGTTTAATTGAAAATGGATGTCAGTGAAAAACATTTCCCACAGCGAATTCAGTCAGAATTTTTTTTAGCGTGGTTTGCAACAGCAGATGACACATCAACATTCCGTTCCCGAGAACTCATCGTCAACAAGACAAGAGGATCTTTAGTGCCCTCACCTGGCCTTTTCGGCCTTATCGGATGTTTTGATTCTCAAGATGTGAGCTGACGCACCTCCACATACGACGGAATAGTGTTACCGTCGCAGCATTGGTGTAGAGGCGCCCCAGCCCCTAAGGGCCGAGACAACCTCGCTCTCCGCTTGTCCACTCCGAATGGTCCGGCCCGCATTGTGCATCGGGTCGTATGCCGCACGCAAAGGGCTAACATGCCGAAATACATCAGCCTGTTCTCCCCCGTACTCCCTAGATAGAGAAGGCCACTCTATCTCCCTGAGCATAGGGGCTCCCCTAGCGTAGAAACTTCCGAATCCGCTCCGGCAGCGGTTTAGTTTAAAGTGTAATTGCTAACCACACCCTAGATGAGCACCGCCTACGGTAAAGTCACTTATCGAGCTCAGCCTACACCTGCCATGCGCATTCGAGGGACGCCATAGGCTCAGCCCAAGGGTACCACGCCGGTCATACGCACAACAATGCAAAGCATACTCGAGTCAGAGACACCGATTCACTACCCGTTTCCGTTCGCTTACTCACGCATTCGAGGGACTATTCAGCATGATCATCGCGTCCTCAACGCTTACAAGCTGTCGTCCGGTCGCAACCTCTCCCGTGGGGCCGGGGGATAATGACGCTGGCCATACGCAAGCTTCACGAGGGTCACAGATGAAAGACAGCCTCTATCTAAGTTCCCGCCAGGGGGGGTCACCACGCGCCACCACGAAACCTTTCCCAATGTAACTTTGTGCTGATTTTGAAACATTCAAGTTACCCCGAGGTAGAGACGGCCATACACCCTCCCCCGTCTATGCAAACAGGATCTAGTGTACTGGCCTTCGTGTGACTCTGCTAAGGCACCCGCCGCCCATGCCGACTCTAGGCCGACACGAGAAGAGAGGTTGACACGCCCTCTGGGCTGCACCTTTATTTTGTGCCCGGATACCCCCCCTTGCAACCAAGAGTTGGGAGGGGTCAGAGGATAGAATGAAGGAACTCGGATTGAGAAAAAGGGCCGTGGATGAGAACACGAGGTGAGCCGTTTCAGGGTCTCGAGTCTCAAACCACACTATACCACCCGTCGTCGCCGTAGTTCCACACATAGTGGGCCACGACTCCCAGGGTGGGTGTGACACATCAACAACCGGATTGAGGGTATTTTTGAAAAAAAAATTGTCAAAGAGGGGCCGCTGGATTCGAACCCATGACCTGACAGTGAGGAGCGCTTTAACCGTTTTAAGCGAAATTTCATATTTAAGGGTTTTAAAGAGTTAAAACGAATACGATTTTTTTTATTTTCTTAACGTTTTGGATTATTTTATCGGAAGTGTTTTCGTTTTGGTTAATTTTTATACATCTAATAACATTTAAAACAATATTACAATTTATTTTTAACTTTAAATGCAAAATAAAGCAAAAAATATTTTAAACTTGAACTTTAAAATTTCTCTCTTCAAGCAAAAATTTGGATTAGATAAAAAAAAATAGATAAATTCCGATTATTTAATTTCATTGTGTACAATAGGTTGACAGGTGGGATCAGTAACACGATTTCCTATAAAAATTCAAATTTGTTTCGTTATAAAAATTTAGAATTATCGACAACGTGTCTAAAAATATCTTTCTCTCTCATAAAAACATCAGGCGTTTGATCTTTTGATCATCTCTGGCTTGGGGAAAAAGTTTGGATAGCTGTATTATTCACTTCAAACGCACAATAATTCCACTGTTAAATTGTTAAATAGAAGGCATCCTAAAATTCATTTATGTAGCTGAATTATTCAACAGTCAACTCAATTATTGTTGTTATTTTATCCTCCTTAACACCCAGGTTTTTGCTATTCAGGAATCATGTCGTAACTTGTGCACGATTAAAATATGTGCGGAGTTTTTTTTTCTTTTCAGATCGCAACATCGCTAATTAATATTGTTTACGCAGAACCCCGTGGCGACTGCTTTCGAAATATTTTGGATGATTTTCGAGCCGATCCTTTTCGGACTGACTGGGACCCAGATTAAAATCAACGAGATGGACGGCTACATGGTCGGCATTGGGGCATCCATCTTGGTCGCCGGTATTCTTGTGAGTCACGAAAAATTGAATACGTACTTTGATGTCGAAAATATTTTAAATATAATGTAGACTCACTATTACAGTTAAGGATAATTATAACGTGCCTCATTGCCGTAGGATCAAAGCTGAACATCAAAGAGAAAATATTCTGTGCTCTTTCATGGATGTCCAAAGCGTCCGTTCAGGTAAGAATTTTTTTCTTTCCTTGACATTCAACAATGACACATTTTCTTTTACACAACATGTTATCGGCTAAATGATCCGTTTTACACCTTTTCACTGAAATTTAAATTATTAAACATTTAAATTAAAATAAAAATTGGCCAACGGTTTTCGCTGTGTACCTTTGAACGTAAATTACCAACTTGTACATCGCATTTTTTTAGAAATTTGGTTTCGCTTAATAATATTTTTTTTAAAACCTAAATATTTGAAGATGAAAAATTTCTTTTTAGTACGCGTTATTTTAAACGTTTGTTTAAATAAACAATATATATTACGATAAATATGATAAAATTTACGACTAGTGCTATAAAAATTAATTTGACATTATTCATTTTCAAATACTTAATATTTTTTTCATACTTACCTGAACGTTGCAAAAATATTTTCAATTTTTTTTATTACATTTATTTGGTATTTACAACTACAAGTGATGTATTAAGTAAATATGGTCGTATATGTTGAATTATCATTTGAGGCTCTTGTAGGAGAAGTTACCCAGTGGTAACACTCCTTCACACTGATATCTTGTTCAGTCTTCACACAACAAGATATCAGTGTGAAGGAGTGTTACCACTGGGTAACTTCTACAAGAACCTCAAATGATAATTCAACATATACGAACATATTTACTTAATACATCACTTGTAGTTGTAAATACCAAATAAATGTAATTAAAAAAAATGTCAACGAAATTCACTAATTTCGTGGTCCGCTTGACCAATTAATATATGACAATTAATTAAGGTTTTTATTTGAGATAAAAAAGTCAATGGCACGAGCGGGATTCGAACCCACCATCTTCGGCTTGATACGCCGCTGCTCTACCTCTTTAGCTATCGTGACCTCGATCCACTAGGACATCAACTTCCCATCTCAAATTCAAAAGGTGCGGTTGAGATGGGAAGTTGATGTCCGAGTGGATCGAGTTCACGATAGCTCAAGTGGTAGAGCAGCGGCGTATCAAGCCGAAGATCGTGGGTTCGAATCCCGCTCCTGCCATTGACTTTTTTATCTCAACTAAAACCTTAAGTAATTGTAATTTCAACGAAAGTTCTAACACTTGATTTTTTTTAATGACTTGCAAGCTGGTTTATTGTAATGCACGAATGTTTCCGTTTTGTAACTGTTACATAATATAATGTTTGTGTAAAACCGTTGAACCTGACAACTAAACTCTATTAATTAACCTCAAAGAATCGAGCATTACATCAATCTGAATCCTAAACCACCAAACTTTACTTCACCCCCAAAAATACACAAACCTAACATTCCCATCCCACCAATAGCCAGGTATAGGCCAACCCTTGCAAAAACTAAACTATCAAAGTTTGTTACAGATATCTCCCAAAATACAATATGCAATTACAAAAAAAAAAACACATTCTTCGTTAACAACACAATAGACCTGGTAGTAAAACTCAACTTAACAATCCCAAACTAGTCTCCTTTGACATAACAAATTTGTAGAAATGATGAATGGTGGAGTAAATGCGGTGTTCAATCCTTTTTAAAAAAGTGTGTAGAGATTAGTGACCGTTAATCGATAGTTATTCAGATATCGTGAGATGCGGCATCTCAACCGCATCTCACGATATCTGAATAACTTTTTAAAAAAGATAGTTCCTACTCACAGTAAGTTGTTTTGCAACGATCCGGATTTCGAGCCCTTAGCTCATCATCAGGTTGAAGGAGTTCTACAGTAATAGTAAAGAGGTTAGGTATTTTTGGCTTATACCCTCTTCCTTTACCACGCATTTCTATGTTTAGCTTTGGCGGAGTTAAGAAATAGTTTCACTTAATTTATAGAAACATTACAAATAAATACAATTCAGAAAATTAAAAAAGATGAACTGGAACTATAATTGATAAGTGATATAAAGCGAGGTTATGGACGTTGGTTTGTTGTAGGCGGCGCTCGGTCCCGTGGCGCTGGACATCGTTCGTGAACGGGGTATCGACGAGTCTGTCTACGCCCAAAAAGTGCTCACGATCTGCGTCATGTCGATCATATTGACGGCACCGATCGGGGCGATACTCATCACGATGACAGGATCCAAGCTGCTCAATAAGACTAGCGAGCCGATCATCATGGAAGGGTGGAGGCGGTCTGCCCGCCCCTCGCTCAGGGACATAACAATTTTCACGGAGGATTTCGACGACATGGATGATTCGCGGTCTATCGAACGGCCATCGATCGTCGTCTCTGACCAGCCGATGAATGTGTCGTGAGGTATACTTTTTAACTTTTTTTTTCTAATCTGTACTTTTCGTGCAACATATTCATACCTTATTTAACGTTGAGGGAAGAAAATAATTTATGTTTTTCTATTTCGGGGTCATTTCTGCCATAAGTAATTGTAGAGTGAAGTCTGTTGGACAAGGCATGGACAAAATTATTAGGGAAATGGTTGGGTTTACTCTTGTGTTTGGGAAGGTAGTGATGTAGATATAAAGAGTATTTACAATAGTTCTAACGACTTTCGATTGGAAGAAGTGTCAAATCTATACATATTTAGCAGTCATAATGCACAGTATTAATTATTTTAATTAATTATAAATTTTAACAAAGGTCTATGTTTAGATGAAAAAGTTAGACACGAGCGGGATTCGAACCCACGACCTTCGGCTCAATACGCCGCTGATCTAACCACAACGTCACGATAATTCAAGTAGTTATTATTAGATTAAGTTAATTTATTGGATTTATAGCGGTTTACGTGATCCCACCAAGGAAAGTGATTGAGTAATTAATAACAAGAAAGTTTATATTTTTAAATTAATAAAACGCAACTGTACGATACTGAATGGATCGGAAGATGACCATCGAGATTCGCGGTGGATTGGTGCTTTCTCGGAGATAGCTATGAGTAGAGTGGAGTGCTGTGAGGTTCTCCTGGCTTACTCTCTGCTGGTGGAAACTCAGGTGTCCACTTAGTTAATATTTGGTTGATATTAGAATTTTTCAGAAACCGTCAATTATATGAAACTTGATAAAAAATTGGACCAGAGATCTTGCCCGGAGGGCCATTGATCATTAGTGACCTAAAGATATAACTAGCACAAGTTTAACCAAATTGAATTTATGTCTACGGGAAACAATATGGACAAACCCAACCGCATCAATGCCGGCCAATCAATGAACTCTTACCACTTTATTACTACAATATATAAAAGAAATATCAAGAAAGAGGCCTTCTCAAATATTGCCAGATAGGAGAAATCTGATAAGCCGAATGTCTCTATTGGTCATCGCAACAGTGATCAAATATTTTATAATTGAAATGCGAATTGATTAATTGAAGTTATGCAATCATTACCTCTACGTTTATGATTGGTTGTGGATATCCGTCCACGGGTGAATACAATCATGTTGAACTGATCAAAACTGATAGCCATTTCACATCATCTTCAGTGAAGTATTCCTCGTTCTGAATCTGAATATGAGTGAAGCGATCCGTGTACATTTCACCACTTCTACAATTGGCTGTCAAAGTACCTAAAACAAGAATCGAATTAGTTTTTGTTTAACTGTTATTGTATTTGTGCTGTGACTTGTAATTTCATCTTGATCCACTTTCGAATTTTAACGCCTAAGCCCATGTCGACTTGTGAAGATGAATAAATAATTATAACATCATAATTTTGAAATGGGGTGGATTATTAATGAGCGAGAAGTTAAGGAAAGCTCTCGACAGAATTAATTAACTATTTGTGCCGGCTGAAGAACAATAATTCGTAAACGGAAACTTGAGCAGTGCTGAAAAAGTCGAACTTTATTGGGGATAATTTTGAACAAAAGGGCAACGCTTCTATTGAAAAACTCTGAGGGGCGTGATCCAGGGGAATTGAACGCTGATTTAAGGATTGGACGGTTTCCATAACTGTGCTCGGAGGTCTGTTTATTACCTTCTAGGCGCCCCATCTTTTATTCTTGCTGATTTCTTTAAATAAAAACTGTTCAATTTTAAAAATATCTTACCTATCATAACGTTCATTTTTTTTTTCATTTACGAGTATCGACAAGACAAAAAGAGGAAAATTTTCCCACATTTCGTAGCAATATATCATTGAATTTGACAAAGGTTTTCGTTCTGTTTCAGGTCCTGTGTCAAACAAGGCGGATGACATGTTGAACTTCAATTAGACTTATTATAGTGTTTAAATTGCTAAAAAAAACGCCATTTAACTAAAAGATTCTATAACGCAAATTGCGAAGGAAACCAAAAATGTCTATGATCGGAATACGGTAAAAACACCTTCACATTAAACAATAAACAAAAAATCTGAAAAATTAAATGAATCTCATTTGCCATCCCATGTTATGAGATATTTTGGCAGTAGCATTAGTTCTGAACAAGATCTATTATTTGTGGAAATGTTGGACTGTACATGTAAAACAGATTTGCAATAAGGCCTATACCTGTAGAAAATATTTTACGCATCAATATCTTTTTAGTTAAGAAATATTACGACCATACCTATACCCCTTTACCACAAGCGTAAATCCAGAAAGCGATAATTAATTTATATTTTATCACAAAAGTTAAAATTGCGGTCTAATAGTCTAATAATTTGCATTAATTATTTAAATTGAGAAGTTATCCCATCCGATCTTTTAAGCCTGTCAAACTGGCTGTTACATTAAAACTGTGCCTCTGTGTTTACGCTTGTCAAACAAACAATCCGAATTAAACCAATATTGGAACAGCCTTTTAATAGAATAGGATAACAGTTAATTATCGATTTATCATTGTTCATCACAATTCCTGTTAAACGGACTAGCGCCCTCGATAAAAACTTACCATTTCGATGCTGCTAATCCAAAAAGTAGTTATGAAAACATAAATGAAGTTCTTTGTTGTTAGAACAACGAACATATACAAATTTTTATTATACATTCGGGTAGAAGTATTTTTTGTAACCATATAGTTACCTTCGTTTCCAAAGAGAAATGTTTGTATAAACTATTTTTAACATTGTAAATTTGTGTAAATAAATCATGCGAGTTATATGGTAGACTTAGTAATACAACTTACGTACTGCAGGTGTAGGTATAAGTATTTTTTAAATATAATCTAATCAAATTCTTTAGAAAATTTAGTTTGTGCAAAAGTTCAGTTCTTTTTTTAAAGACACTGTATTTTTACTTGAAATAAAGTTGATGTTAGTCTCACTTATTATTTTCATTAAAATTCCTCAACAAACATTTGCACTATTTTCTAGTTTTCACGTAGACGCTGGGGAGCTACCTCCTGTCTACCGGAGAAAAATTATAGATTCAACCCTCATAGACCTCTTTCTTCAGGAAACATTCCTACTGTACCTAGTGTATTCAATAGTATTTAATCTTTCCGATATATAATCTCAACTCTGCTTCATCGCTGAACCTAAATTTTCCAAATAAAAAAACTCTCTCACCAACACTGGGATAATGAAAACCCCAAATTTTCTTTCTCATTAACACGAATGATTATTCAGAAATCGTGAGATGCGGTCCGGTGTGATGTAGGTTTCATAAAAACATTTTCTTTATCGTGCCAACGTTTCGATATTTATTGAGATCATTTTCAGGGGTCAAAGTGTTTGTTTTCTGCGTAATTGTGCCATTCTTGCGTATCGTGTTGAGAGTACATGTACTTGTTAAATTTAAACAATGTTTGTAAATCCCAGGCCCTGAAGATGATCTCAATAAAGATCGAAACGATGGCACGATAAAGAAAATGTTTTTCTAAACCTATGTCACACAAGACCGCATCTCACGATCTCCGAATAATCATTGACTAACGGTACACACAAATCACATTATTGGATCTGTATCGCCGGACTTCGTTCTCTGAAACGCACTTCGGCCGTTTTCTCCCCAGACAGTACCTCACAGAAGTACAAAATGTGTTCGTTGAATAGCAAACTGACAAACACCTCCAACTTTAAATCAAAGTATGCTGAGTAATGCTGAAAGTTTTCAAAAATGAACTTGAAAAAACAGGCTAGGACATGGCAAATGCCTTAATCAGTTGGGTTCAAAGGTATGAAAGGAATACCGTAATTATCTAAATATGCAGAACACTTCTAACCATCGACTACGAATTTATATATACGATGGTAAATTGGCGGTGTTCGAAATGTAATTTTAGACAATAGGAGGTAGTATTTCCCAGACTGAGAATAGTCCATATGCGATACACTCACAGAAGCACTCACTCCTCATTGTGAAAAATCAAGTTGAGAACAGTGAAGCACTTCTAACTGAAGATTTTACTATNCATACAAATGAGTAATCCTGTAAACGTAAACAGAATATTTTATATAGATTTTTTTTAATGAAAACTTAAAATCCTGCATTATTTTCCGGACAACCCGATACAAAATGTGTTCGTTGAATAGCAAACTGACAAACACCTCCAACTTTAAATCAAAGTATGCTGAGTAATGCTGAAAGTTTTCAAGAATGAACTTGAAAAACAGGATAGGACATGGCAAATGTCTTAATCAGTTGGGTTCAAAGGTATGAAAGGAATACCGTAATTATCTAAATATGCAGAACACTTCTAACCATGGCGAAACATAAGAGTGCCAGTGTAAAGTAAACCTGCTTTAGAATTTAATTTATGTTTTTAAAGTATATCAAATTAATAAAAATTTATTTAAGGGAAAAAACTTAAAAAGCCCACAAACTGTTGGCGAGGTTTAAACTAAAGAGCTTTGCACTCTCCACACAAAGTACAAGCCGTAGTTCCCAATTTTCAGACTAACTGATTACAAAATAGCTCACTCGTGAAAAGAAATATTTTATGAGTCGTTTTATATGGTATGCGACGCAATCCAAGTCTTTTTTAATGTGCAAGACTAGAATACGATTGTTACTGGGTGATGTCACCATACGCAAAAACTTATTTTGAGTCATTTGTAGCGAGGCGATGTCTCCAAGCCCCAAGGGGCAAGCATGCAAGAGCATCGGTCTGATCACTACTTTATACAGAAGTTTGTTTACTACGGACTTTTAGAGACCCTGCACGGTAAGGGGAACAAGACATGAATGGAGCTTTACCTTCATTTACACAACTCTTTACACGGGCAGCGAAAGTTTACTGTCAAGTATTTCCCAAGGAACTTATCAGTAGCAGACCAAGGTATGACCCAACGCCTGCAGTCGACTGTAAAGAGGATAGACTACGTTTTTGTCGGATTAGTTGTATGCTCCATTTGCTATAGAAATTGCCAATACATGGTCTTTGTAATCTGTTGATTATTGTATTTATTCACCAGGACGAAGGCAATGACATCAGCGTATTGGGTCTGCAATTTAGGTTTTGACATTGTATTGAAAAAGAACAGGCCCTAATATGGATCCCTGCGGGAGACCAGCAGTTGTGTTACAAGTATGAGAACGGGTTGAGATAAATTAATTGACTACCAATTTGCTAGTGCTCAAATATTTTTTTAAAATTTTCTTTTATAAAGGTTAGGTCCGTTTAGCTAGATCCAAAGTGTCAAAATAGGAATAACTTTAATTTTAAGAGTTTTCCATTTGTGAAACTGTAACTAGACCGCATACACTGTACATGGGACTATTCAGAATACCCTACACACATTGCAGATAATTATTTTTGGTAGATATAAACACGATGCTACCTAATTATCATATCATTTTCAAGAATGGATCGGTGTTAAGGTGGAATGTAGGTTGTGCCTGGTACAGCCCAATTAAGAACTAAAAACCAAATAATGCTACTATCGTCTATATCGACTTTCACTGCTGAAATGTGTGCGCTGACAACACGTTGTCACGTTGGAATGGAATGAATTTTGCTTGACAGCATGAGCTCCATAAAAGAGATCGAGCTTTTCACCCAAATGCAAGGTGTGATTATCTACTGGCGGAAATCATTAATGTCATGAAGGACTGTTTTATGTAGAAAAAGGTTTTGATGGATTCGAGGACATTGTGACATGTGGCAATGAGGCAGAGCACGGACACAAAACGCCTCTTCAACAAATAGTTGATGCAAGAATGGAGCACGTGGTACATCAACCGACCTACGGGTTTGCTGTATAAATCCATATTCCCGGAAATAGGATCAAAACTATGGCTATGTAGAATTAATGGAATTTTTTGCTTCGATACCCCGGTTTCGCTCAAACCACTGCATTTGCGATGCAGGCAAAAAATTAGCCGTAGGTTCTCCTGCTATTCCAAACTGAGAGACGTGCGATGAACCGGCAAACATAAAGCATATAATTTTTACGTGCCCAGAATACGAAGAGGCAAGACAGAAATTTTTCGGGGTGTATACGCTGAAAAATTTTGAGCGACCGTTTTGCTGGGAAATTAGGTGTTTATATATACATGAAAGAATGTGATATTGATATGTGATACTGTGATATAAACTTTAGAGTCGTTGTAGTGTGTGTTATTATTTACTCATGTATAAAATAATTTATTTCATTTTTCTGTGTTCCTTGTTTTAATTAATTTATTATGTGATGTATACTTAGTTATTTATTATATAATGTATATATGAGTGTACTATTGATGTACACTTAAAGCAAAGCAATATAAGAAAAAAAGAAGTTTTCCTTTATTTTATAAAAATATCGATCTTCGTATCTATAAAAATTTTCAGATAAAAGCAACAAAATAAAAGTTTAAATTAAAGACAGAGTCCTAAAAGATTTTTCTTACTAAACAAGAATTATTATGTTATACATTTAGTCCAATGTGTGATTATCCAAGCAAACGCAATTATAAAAAAATCCATATTTTCCCAGTTCGGTTTATCTGCCGCAGAAACCCGTCCCAACACGCGTCCCTTTCAAATTCATAACGATGCAGGTCCGGTTCATTGATCAGTAAATGCATGAAAGGATGATGGATGGAAACAACAAGCAAACCGTGAGACAACAGCCAGGATGTGCATACGAAGCGTATCCTGTGAAATGAAAGAGGGCTTTTCTGAATTGATATTCCCGTCAACGGTAATTGAACTGAAAGCTACTGAATCTGCGAGATAAAAATCGTTGTTTCGGCACAGTAATCCGATTGGAACGTTGGAGATTAACCTAAATAATTTACAAGTTCCAGTGCGCTTATGTTGGGATTTGTTTTTAAATATAATGAAAAGTCTTCATTGAATAAATAGACAATAAATAAAATAAGGAATATAAAAAATTAAAAACACTTCATCATATTCTAATCACTTAATTTCTCCTTTGTACGAATGAATATTTCACTTTTTACATTGTCACCAAGTAGAAAATATTTATTGGATTTAAAAAAAATTTCAAGTAATGTATACCGTGAAGTTCCATAATGGCATCCATACCAGTGTATTTCAACCAACCATATTAACCTAAGAGTAATCCGGTGGAGAATCGTGAAATTGTTACAGTTGCGATCAATACCATGACTCTTCGGTTCATGTATTATCTATAAGGATCAAGCCGAGACAAAGAATGAAGTAACATAACTCACACATCCTAAAATATCCGTCATGTCAAAAAGTGCATTGGTTAAGTTAATAATGTCAGTAATAATTTCTGTATCAAAAATCGTAAAATCAGTCTTGTTTTTACTTATTATACAAGGGTGTGGATTCAGTACTGCCCACTGATTTTATCAAAAAACTATACAGCATAGACAAAAACGACGCGAAGAGGATTTTGTTCATGCATAAACTCAATTTTTTGATACTATTCGTTTCGATAATTCAAATAAATGTTCCTATTCGTAACCCATGTAAATTATTGATAATAAATTTGTAAACTATAATCCGTACAATCAAAAGTCCTCAGTCAAAGCTCCTTATTAAGCCACTAACCTCACTATCCAAACCCCTCAAAATTCCATTTGTCAAAGAACTGATCAGTTTCCGTTTTCAAAAATTTCACAACCACCTCTCGCTCCAAGGTAACCCTACTTTTCATGCCCTTTCTACACATTTCCCATTCTGAGAACCTTACAAGTCGCCTTAATCGACGATGGCATCGAGACCTCTTTGCCCCTTTCCCTCTCCACCGAGTGCCAGCGTTGGCTGGTTTCTCATGGCATGAATTCTCCAGGTGCAGTACTGGTATTAGTGTTAGTGCTGTGACCGTGTGAAAAATACATTTTGTAATCATATTTGTTATATATACGAATGAATATCTATAGGGTACAAATAAAACAATTCAACA